TTAGGTTTTTTGGTTTGTTGTCACACAGTGAAGATGCTATTCTGCACTTTTGGCTGCCAATAATTGAGATACACTTTAAAAAATCAGGAATTTGTTAGCCATGAGTGTGACTGATAGATTGTTCATGTATGTCCATATATGTTGATGTGTACGGTGATGGGTGAGCCACTGTCTTAACATTTGGCTCATGTTTCTTGATTCTCTGTCCCATGTGTTTCATTTTAGTGGAGATAATAAAGACAGCATTGTTGCAGACATGCTCTCAGACGTTTTTTATAGTCGGCTTCAACTTCACACTGACTGACTGGTTTCTTTTACGAGGCCAAACCTCAATAGAATCAAATTGGATAAGGGGGATTACCATACGTATGATGTTGGTGTCATTTTATGTCTTTACTGTTGTTAATAGTGACAGCATTGAATTCACAAAACAAATGGCACAGACACTTTGGGGATGTGTTGGTAGTAATAAAGGCTTTCAAATAATACAAGCAATTTGTTAACTTTTATTTCTTCCATAGCTGTAATCCACTCTTAACCTCTTCCCTTCTTCTTTTCATTCCCTGAATATTTAAGTGACAACCTTTTCAGGGACAGGTATTGGAAAATAGCTTTAGCTACAAATGCTGTGGTGCAGTGCATTGGAAAATTGTTGTTCACTGCACAATCTTTTTATAACTCTAAGAGCCTAAAGGAATAGTTCATGTTTTGTAAATGAATAATAATAAAAAGTTCACATTTCCCAAAAGAGTAATTCAATAGAAAAAACAACGCCTTCCTCTGGCAATGGTATAACATGTTACTCAGATAGCTATCTCATGATGACAAAGCAAATTTAAACAAGCTGGGTAACAACTTGTCACCTGGCGTTGTGTAACCCTTAAGGATTAACATTCTAGTTTCTCAGCCTGTTCAAATATGCTTTGTCATGATGTGATAGTATTGGAATAAAGGCTTGGCTGCCAATTTATTTGCCAGAGAACTTATTTGCTTTTTTGTCTCATTTCCTTTAAGATTTTTGGATTCCGCGCCAAAGACCAACTTTGCTACACTGTCTGTAATCAGACACTGGAATGCACAGAAGTAGAGATGAACAGAACACGAAAGAGTGAAGCAAAAAGTCTTGGTCTTTACTTGACAAAAATGAGGTCGTACACTTGATGGCAGTCCAACAAAGCAAACAAGTCAAATTAGAGCAAAGGCAAAAAGAAAAAAAAAGAAAAAAAAGAAAAATCAAAAGTTAACAAACACAATCTGGCAACTGAGGTGGGAAAGCAAAGGAGGGAGCTGACTGGCTTATGAGATAATTAGGAGCAGGTGAGGACAGGTGCTGGTAATCAAGGGACTGGTGAGCACATGGAGGCAGGAAGTGAAATGACAGGAGATCTTGGATTTCAAAATAAAACAAATACAACAGGAAAAGTACTTCACAAAATGAACTCATTGTTACACTTTTTCTATAGTTACACACAAGTCACACACGACTTGGACTCGAGTCAGACTCGCCAGGACCCCCCAAAAATGAAATCTATCATTTTCAGTGAACCTTCAAAACATCTTACAACCACATTTAGAAACAATTTAATACACAAGTAAGTATAAAGCTGCTTAGAAGAATGTTTTGGGGTTTGTAGGGCTGCAACGCTACACAGTGGGGTTTAGGTAATAGAGAACATTTAATCTAAGAGTGCTTATAATGCCACAACAGGAAGTATTTAATGTCATTATTTCCTTCTTATCAGACAGATCTAACATTTCAAAATGGACGCGGCACAAGCAGCTGCACTCGTTTATTTCTTACTTTACAGCCGTGCTGCAGATTTACACATTACCATCTAACAAATCAAGACAATGAGAGGCCCTGATGGAGCCAGATGTTGTTGGCACATTTAGAAGTTGCATTTTTCTCCCACACATGTACACTGTGCTGTACAATAATTATGAGCTGAGTGTTTGGAAATGCTCATGTTACACAGGGGCATTTATCATGAGGGCTACCAAATGTGGCAGGAAACAGATCCAGAGGCTATTCAGGGCTGGAAGCCAGATGGAGGAAAAAACCTGTAGTGTTACAGTGCAGTCTGAAGCACTTCCTGCACAAATTAAAAATAAATCAGTGTGTCTGACTTTCTCTCTTACCCGTTTTTTTTTGTGTGTGGATCTTGTTCCCTCATGAATTAAATAGCAATTCAATGTTTCCTTTTTTTTCTGTTTCTGCTGCTAGGTGGCTATCGATAGCACCTCTTTTTTTCTCAGCTTTCTCAACATAATCCATCCAACCTCCCCCTACTCTCTCTCTCTCTCTCTCTCTCTCTCTCTTTTTCTCTCGACCCCTTTCTTTAGACATTTCCTTTGACTCTGGGGCCTCAGTGTCATCTCCTGCACACAGAAATCTCCATTCATCATTGTGTGAATAGAGGAACTATACATTCCACATACACTTAACTTCGACCGATCACACTCACAAACACACAATATTACATAAAGGAATCCGACATCATCTCAACACATGCAGCTCTATGGGGTCTCAGACAAAATACAACATTGTCACGCTTGGATTTGTCACGCTTTCTCTTCTTTTCTCTCATACTTTTTATGAATGAATACTCTTGGAAATCCTGCTGATCTGTTTGCTGACCAGCAATGGAAGAAGTTGCTAAAGCAACTAAAATGCAAAAGTAACAACAACAGCACGTAGAGACACCTTTCTACTCTGCCAGGTGTGGTCTGTTGTCATGTCTTGTAAGTATGCTTATTATGTTAGTGACCTGAAAATAACTTTGAACTGCACTAACCTGTTTGAAAAGCTGCTACATGAACAACATGGCAGCTGTGTTGGACTGTTTGAATGAATGTACGGTGACAGGCATGTGTTGAATATAGCTGAAAAGAAAACAATCAGCGTTATATATAATGTCAGGTAAGCTCAGTTTTTGATATTAAATTAATGTCTGAGTTGCAAAGTTTTTGTTTCATGGGTATGAATGTTGTGTTTGCTTTATCTAGCCTACAAAAGATAGAAAAACATAAATAGACAAATGATCCCTAGAAATGAGTCCATAAACTAAGCTGTAAACTAAGCTTTTCGATTGTGTATTTGGATTGGGATTTATGTGTTTTTTTGGACAATAAAAAACAATACTACTTCAGCCTACCAGAAAATACAACATGTTCAACTAACAGTACTGATAGCTATCATCTTTTCCCTTACTATTTCACAAAGTTTCATTCATATAGGCCTATTGTTTTACTGGTGCGAAGGTCCTCCATATTTAAGACCATTTATATACCGTCTAGGGTAGGGTATGGCAAGCCGTTCAGGAAATTAATATATTGAATGAAACTTTGAATATATTGAATGAAGTCTGAATATATTGAATGAAACTCTGACTATATTGAATGAAGTCTGAATATATTGAATGAAACTTTGAATATATTGAATGAAGTCTGAATATATTGAATGAAACTCTGACTATATTGAATGAAGTCTGAATATATTGAATGAAACTCTGACTATATTGAATGAAGTCTGAATATATTGAATGAAACTTTGAATATATTGAATGAAACTCTGAATATATTGAATGAAACTCTGACTATATTGAATGAAGTCTGAATATATTGAATGAAACTTTGAATATATTGAATGAAACTCTGAATATATTGAATGAAACTTTGAATATATTGAATGAAACTTTGAATATATTGAATGAAACTTTGAATATATTGAATGAAACTTTGAATATATTGAATGAACCTTTGAATATATTGAATGAAGTCTGAATATAGTGAATGAAACTTTGAATATATTGAATGAAGTCTGAATATAGTGAATGAAACTTTGAATATATTGAATGAAACTCTGAATATATTGAACAAAGTCTGAATATAGTGAATGAAACGTTGAATATATTGAATGAAACTTTGAATATATTGAACAAAGTCTGAATATATTGAATGAAACTTTGAATATATTGAATGAAACTTTGAATATATTGAATGAAACTCTGAATATATTGAATGAAACTTTGAATATATTGAATGAAGTCTGAATATAGTGAATGAAACTTTGAATATATTGAATGAAACTCTGAATATATTGAATGAAACTTTGAATATATTGAATGAAACTTTGAATATATTGAATTAAACTTTGAATATATTGAATGAAACTTTGAATATATTGAATGAAACTTTGAATATATTGAATGAAGTCTGAATATAGTGAATGAAACTTTGAATATATTGAATGAAACTTTGAATATATTGAATGAAACTCTGAATATATTGAATGAAACTTTGAATATATTGAATGAAACTTTGAATATATTGAATTAAAGTTTGAATATATTGAATGAAACTCTGAATATATTGAATGAAACTCTGAATATATTGAATGAAACTTTGAATATATTGAATGAAACTTTGAATATATTGAACAAAGTCTGAATAAAGTGAATTAAACTTTGAATATATTGAATTAAACTTTGAATATATTGAATGAAACTTTGAATATATTGAATGAAACTTTGAATATATTGAATGAAACTCTGAATATATTGAATGAAACTCTGAATATATTGAATGAAACTTTGAATATATTGAATGAAACTCTGAATATATTGAATGAAACTCTGAATATATTGAATGAAACTTTGAATATATTGAATTAAACTTTGAATATATTGAAGGAAACTTTGAATATTATTCAAATTCAATATATTAATTTCCTGAACGGCTTGCCATAAAGGGACTTTTGCAGTAAATATGAAAAAAAAGAAAAACACGATCTCAATAGCAAGTGGATCGTCTGGCTAAAATGTGGTGCACAGTGTTATACAGATCTGTGGACTGACGCATGCGCAGCGCAGCCGTGTAGAAGAGGCTTATGGGTACAGGAAGTCCAAAATGGCGATGGACGGAATCATGTCCACGTCTTCGGGTCTATCTTACCACAATGCCGGTGACTTTTACCCAGAAAGTTCGGCACGAAGCCGACGTGGTGCCGTCAGGGGTGACCGAGAGGAAAGTGGGTCCGCTGGATAAACCTGACATGGTGTCAGTTGATGTCATTAACATCAATGATTCAGGTTTGTTATGCTAACAGCTAACAGCTAACTACACGTAATCAAACAGGCGGCTAACAGCTGACTCTGAGGTGGAGCTGAGCTTTTTCATCTGATTCAGTTTTTTGGTTGTTTACAGCGACAGTGTTAGTGGTTGTAGTCGTCAGTGTTTTGTTTAGAGGGATGTCTTTGTGGCCAGTGTATCTCGTTTGTGAGTAGCTAATCCTGTTAGCATTTAGCCTCCTGTCAGGAACATTAAAAACTACAAAACATTCACAATCATTTATCACCAGATATTATTACTTGAATTCTGTTTGTATGCAGTCCTTTTTTTTTTTTAATTCAAACTTATAGTGAAGACTTGATGCCTTGATGGGTCATCAGAGAAAATGATTCTGCAGCATTATTTCATTAAAACAATATAAAAGCCCCTCACTCTCACACCTCTCCATTAATGGTCTGTAGGTCTTGTTGGTGCATGATTTGATTTAGAGGCTGTGTTTGAGAAGCTTGGCTCAGAGGGTAAACCAGAATGTGCCCTGTGGAATTAGTATGTAAAACTAAAAAAATATCTATAAATTCAATTCAATTTCCACATAAAAGTTGAAGATAATGATGATTCAACATTTTCCGGTGTTGTTTATGGGAAATCTTTTACTTACAAACAGAACTTGAAAACAGACTTACCTGCCAGACTTTAGGATGTGAAAATGTTTTCTTTGAATAACAGATTGTGCTCGAGTAGGAAAAGTGTTGAGTGATCCTCGTCACAGTGATTTTATTTCTTTTCCTGTTTGACGCTCTTTTTAAGTAAATCCTGGCCAGTTCATATGCAGAAACTTATCCACCAACATTGGGTACCCCTGCTGTGCAAATCAGTTTTTTATGTCCACAGCCTTTTCTTTAAAATCTTCTATAGAATGAGAGCTAAAAATGTCTAATAGGGAAAATGTCTCCTTTTTTAAGGAGAATTTGGTTAAAACTTGAAGTCAGGGTGTTTTTGTTAGTGTCCTTCCGGTACAGTGTACTGATAATAGAGCTGTTGTCTTTTGTAATCCGCATGTCCTTTAAACGCATCGTGTCATAGCTGAAGTTTATATGTAAACTCAAAAGTTTTATCAAAACTGTTTTTAAAAAATAGACAAAATCGTGTCAATCTTCAGAATTTCCATGATAAATACAGAAAATGAACCAATAAATCTGGACCATTTTATGATCTTTGACAAGTGTGTATTCTAAGCTTGATTTAAAAACAGAAGAAACAACAACGTAAGCATAATAAGGTGCACATATAGTGTCAATTCTTGTACCCGAAACTTACATCTAAAACAAAACTAAATCAGCTATATTTCACAAGAAATTTAGCCAGATCGAGAATCAGTTGAATGGTTGATTGGATGAGCTGTCGAGGTCTTCTAAATAAAATCCTAAAGCCTCTAACCTGTCATAATAAAGTTTATCTTTATCTTCATGGGGTATGTTTGTGTTGAGGCTTGTGATGTCCAGAGTCAAAAGGGTATTATCAGACAAATCATTAAGGCTTATTAAATTTTTTTTTTTAAACGTAGACAGTGGAGAGCAGAGGGAGTCTGTCTGTGCCACTGTCGGGCGACCTGGAGGGTTGGTGAGACATGGATGTTCTTTTTGAATGTCATTATTCCTGACAGAATGGTTGGACTAATCTCAAGAATAAAACCAGATTTATTTTTGTGTAAAGCAAAAAAAACAAAAAAAAAACAACACCACCTTTTATCATCTGTACTTACGCTGAAATTTAAAGTCGAAATCAGTCAGTCTGTCAGACTTTCAGGAATTTAGTATACTGTCTTTTTTTCCCCACCAGGTTGTGTTTTGTTGTTACTACGGTTTAACAATGGCCTCTGTTTTCTCCCACAGATGTCAACTTGCACAGGAAGAAGCATGAACATGACACATACGTCTTGGTGAGTGTCTCTGGTGTTTTTGTTTTAGTGTTGATCACTGTCTTTCATCCCAAAACCTCACCACTCTATCAGTGCACTCCAGTAATGTTGTTCTTTTTATGTTTATTTCTTTGCAATGATTGGTCTACAGAGAGCAAACTCAGACAGGACTTAAACTGGAGAAGGCTTACAGCAGGGTATACTACTGTGTTTTTACAGTGACAGTGATTTATGTAGTTTAAAGCCATGAAGGCTGTCATTATGCAGGCAATGTTTTTTAAGTGTACCCACCCAAACAACACTTGCATTTTGCTGCCCCAGTTAATGATGTGACATATAACATACAGCCAGGCAGCAGCATTACTTTATTAACTATAACAAAAACCTTTTATCTTCTGTTATAAAACCGTTTTTCTAATGCCATGCTTGAAGAGTAGAGACCTACTCATTTTGTCCCCAATTATTGGTAGCTGTAAGTCAGCTGCTGTTATCCTCTAATTGCCAGTAGGTCCAACACGTAACACTTTCTCAACATGACCTTTCTGCTCCCAATTTTCCTTGACATCCCTCAGCTCTGTTACTACCTCGGCTACCTATAAAAGCGTGAAACCCTTTCCCCAGCATCTTTATCTGCATAATGCATATCCTTTTTTTAAATGGAAAATGACTCAATTAAAATGTCGTTCTTTAGATTCGCCTGATGTAAAGTCAAACCAGAGTTGAAATAAGAAGGATGTAAATGGTTGATAGCGTTGGAATGCTTTAACTTGAAATCTTTAGGGACATCATAAAAGCGATGAAGTGCTTTTAAAAGTTTGCTTTGATAAGATAACTTTCATGCGACCCCTTTCCCCTCCTCTGTTGTAAAGCATCTTTAAAGAAAAAAAAGTCAAATCTGTCGATATGTTCCAGTGTTGCTTATGTTGTTCCGATGTTACCGTCCTCATGCAAAGTTCTTACAGTACCTACTATCCGTGCTGTATACTGTTAGTACCTACTATTCAGTATGCACACACAGTAGGCAGATATTTGTTCCTACTTCATGTGATTCATTCAGTATGGAAGTGACGTCATTTATGTTTCCCGAACCGGCCGCATTCACCCGTTTTTAATGCGCATATACAGTCAGGTAAACAAAAAACAATATCACAATGTAAATCAAGTAAAAAACCAATTAAATAACTAAATAACATACAGTACATAAAGAAAAGTACAAATGAAAGACAGTAATATACAGAATATAAAGTAAACAAATAAAGACGCATTTAAATAGTGAAATAATTATTTGAATAGAGGGGGAAAGGTTTTATAATAATGCAGATATTTGTTATATTTTCTGTTGTTAATTAAAAGTAGTTATTTCAGTCGAGACTTTAACTCTAGATTAAAAATGTATTCAATTAATCCACGCTCGTTTGTTTTGATTTGGAGGCGGACGTGAAGTGACGATATACCTTTAATTTCGCACAGCATTGTGGGTGGTAAAATACAATGAATTTCCTGAAAGCACGCATCCGATCCATACTGCATGAAACCCGGAAGTTAGTATCCATACTGAAATGTTCAGTATACTGAGGTGGACCCAAAAAATGCATACTGAATGACCACGAAAGTTCAGTATACTGAAACTACCTACTGAAAAGTACGCACTGCATACTGAACTGTGGGTATTCGGAAAGGGCCCCGGTTTTGCAGAAAAATCCTCTGAAGGGTCATGTTGTTATTCACTCACCTACCACTGGATGTCAGTGTGGGTCACAATTTGCCTCCAATTCTTCTTCACGGTCACTGTCCTGATGAAACTGACTGTACTCACATTCATCTTAATGTCATTTCTGGAAACTAGACATTACTGAAGCTAGATTTTATTTTGCTGCATACTCTTTTCTGAATCAAAATGTGTAATTTTCTTTCATTACTTAGACGTTAGTTTTGATGTTTTTGATGTCTTTAAATTTGCAGGGAACCATTCATCCATTCAGGAAGACGCACAGATCCATCTTTGGGAAACTTGTGCAGGAATTGAGACTGGTCTCCTCAGATAGACGGGTAAGTGCTTTTAGAAATAACTAAATTAACCAAACCTCATTGTGTTGGTTTCTCCGAGTAGATAGAGAGTCCTTGCTTTATAATCCCATTCTTCTTTAGGCTGTATGGATCCTGTTTCTCCTGCACAGCCTAACCCAAACACCTCCAGTAATCCTGTTTGTCTAGCAGGTCACCATGTTCCAGTGAAAGCCTCACAGTTAAACACCATCAGACACAAGCTGAAGGCTTGTCCGCTTTGGCTGACCTGTTATAACGGGGAGTTTTAACCTGCGATCTTACTTTCTGTATAGTTCAGGTTTGTCTGCTCAGGCTGTTAAGAGTTTCTTATGCACTGATAGTATGAGCTTTAATATGTTGTTTCAGCCTTTTTTATCTGATGAACAGATAAGTTAATGAACAGTTGTATCGCTCTACAAAAGTTAACACGTGTTTCTGGTCAGACATCAGCGAGGTTCATCTTGGATTCATGTCAGATAAAATATCTTTAAATAAAAGTCATTGCTTTTGTAACATGATAAAATACCTAAACTGAAAGTTTTGGACCCAGCTTTGAAAGTTTGACCAAACACTCTTCTTTGTTGTACCTCAGTTAATAATTTAATTGTTCCTCGTGTGTTATAGGAGTGTAATGAGCCATCAATCGGGATCAAATGAAAATCCAATCCAACTTATGGAAAGTCAAAACATCAATCTACATTCCCATCTTTAAGATACGGCTATTTTTGTTTCAGAGTTTCCTCCTAAACTGCGTGTTATCCTGAACTTTCAAACAATGAACACCTGCATCATTACTGGAAGCATGAGTGAAACTTTTTCTGCAGCTGGACTTCATTTAAACATGGAAAATGTGACTGCAGTTTCTTAACATCCGTATGAACCTTCTTTTCACTAAAGAATACAGTGACACTAGATGTAGTTTTGACCAGTGGAATTTACTACTATGCTAATCTGCTACACTAGTAGTATCTTTTTTAAATGATTTGAGGCAGTGTGATTCATGCTTGATTGCATAGAATGCAAGTCTGTATTTTAATTTGTTCTTTTCTTGATGTTTCGGCAACGGGGACTCTTGATTTTATTTCAAGTCCGGCCAAGATCAGTGCCGACAAGTGTCTGAACTGTACGTGCATCGTCTTATCCATAACCATTACTGTCACCAACCAGTGTTTTTTTTAATTATTATTATAATTATTTTTTAAGTTATAATGACTTTGAATAATAATGTTGGAGATCGTTGTCATTTATTTGAACAGGGATGAACTTAACTTACATTGAGAGTCAACAGATGTTCATTAAAGATGTTTGTTAATTTCAGACGTTGACATTTTTTGCCTGCTTATAGACAACAAAGGAAAGTCTCACTTTAAAAATTACTTGTACAAAGTATTTTTATTATTCAACCCAACATTCCTCATGGCTCACTTATTCAACCACACATAGAGACTATAGGCCTATAAGACTATACATGCATGAAAAAGGTAAATGTAAAGGAATCTTTTGTGGGGTTTTTTTTTTAAATCTTTTTTTTGTCCTAGCTTGGTGTTAATCCCTCTCAGCCTTGGTTTGTCTTAGTCTGGATACACTTTAGTTTTTTTAGAGTTTAGAGTTAGTCTTTTGTGGGTCTTTCTTGACAACAAGACCACTCTTATCATGCACGAAATGGAGTAATCCAGATGTGTCTTTATTCTGTGTTATCTCGAGATGAATCTTTGGTTTCTTGCCTCCTCGGTCATGCTGGGTCAGGCCTAAGTAATATTCAGTTACATGTAAATAACACAGCTTTGTAACAACAGTCCATTTGTAAAGGTGAGCATGTTAACCTTGCTTGTTTAGCAATTAGTGGGTGGTCTGTTGGGGTCCCTCCCACCTTTAATGCAGTACCGCTGGATCAAATGCGTGCAGAGGAACTTCTATAGCTGCAGGCTATGATCCGCCTGATAAATATAAATTAAATATTACACCTCAGAAAAACCACCGTGCGTGCGTGCGTTCGTGCGTGTGTGTGTGTGCGCGTGTCAGCGTTATTATACCATAATCCACTTTGACCTAACGCTGGCAGGGGGTCTTGCCTTGCCAAA